AACACCAGATCCAATTCTAATAATGACCCACCAACTACCGGTACTATATCTAAAATTTAAGAGCCACTGTGGATTAAAACCGACACTTCCCCAAGATCGATCCAACGTCTTCCTCCACTCTACTGATTGCTTACTCATTGCCGCCAAAGTATTGTTTGTGCATACTCCAAATTAGACGTTCATGCACATTAAGTGATTTCATGTCGTTGTTTTTTTTTCCTCCCTCCATTTAACAATTGCACTGCAGCCCAGTTTAGTACATAAAACATAAAATTTAAGACCTTTTTAAGACTTTAAGACCCCGCGGCTACCCTGCATAGAAACAAGCAGGTGACAGACCCTCCAACAGAAAAGTTACACAATGCACCTTTAAAGAACATATCTGTAGGACTAACACAATATTGTCACCCACCCCAAGAATATGAATAAACCACCAATTTCATTGTATAACACAGAAAACACATGATTATTTGAATGAATAATTAAAATATTACTGTAAATTGTATAAAACGTAGGGCAGAAAGTATTTTTGTAGATGTTATGTGTGTACACAAAGTAAATTAAATCAAATCAAAGCCATTCAGATGTAAAATGTAATGTAATTTTAACAGTTTGAAAATAACATTTGGGTCTGGTCAAGCGGTAACGAAGGGAAACAGGGGCAGATTTTTTACATTCAAATAGCTCTTATTCAGAAACTAGAGGGAATATTGAAATAAGTAAGGTATTAGAATGTAGGAAAGAGTTAACACTCCAACAGGGTAAAGTTAAACCTGTGATATTCTTTCAAGTTGTTGACAAAAAATTTAAAAACTCATGTCGGTAAAGGAGGGAATGAAATATGCAGCACTTTTTGGGCAATAAATACAAACAGTGATAACTAACGGTTCTCACTTACATATCCTTAACAAACTGGTTTGAATATTTGCTTCATATAGTTTTCTACCATATGGTACAAGATTAGGTTGAAAAACCTCTTACTTTTTGAGTCATGAGATTTTTTATTAAGAAAGGTCATGGTAACGGAGGGAAAAGTAACGGAGGGAAAATTGTGCAAGCAAGTAGAAGGTGCATGATTTTGCATAATTTGTCAACTTTTTTCTTCCCGAATACTTTAATATTACTTCAAAATGAAAGGAAACTATTTCTATAAAATATGTCAGTCCTTCCAAGCAAATTTTTATCATTTTAATTTAATTTTTTTTTTTGAAAAATCATGTACCTTCATCAACAGTTCAAAGATCGAATAACACAAGATATGATGAAATACATCCATTTATTTACATGATTTGCAGGTCTTTGAAATTTGAGAAATAATTTTTGTTCCATGTTTCATACATGGTCTGTTTAAAATGTATGTAACTTTAGAACCAAAAATGGTACAGAAAAAAGGTAAACAGTTTCATAAACTAGAGTACATATGTATCTGTTGAATTCATTTTTATATCAGATGCATTAACTTGAATTTTTGGCCTTGCTGTTTACTTCTGCTTGACCGGGCCCATTTGCCCTTTTATTAAATTTAAACAGTTTATTAGATCGGATACTGTTTCCAAATAATAGCTGCTTTTCTATTTAACTGCTTTAGTTCAAGTTAAATGTAGTAAAATCGTGAGACGTCTAAGAATATTATCGCAAAGTTAATCAAAACAACTGAACTCGGTGAACTTTTGCAGACAATGTTTCGCAATCAGCCATGTTTAGCTGATAGCGAAAGTTGCAAATTCCCATATTGTGTGACAAACTAAGTGCCAACCCATCCGCCAGAAAAGTGACTCTCTGACACCTTTACTGTAAAACTCTGAGTCACATCCTCCTTGAATAATGATCGGAGCAGATGTTGTGATGCTGTTAGACTCTCGCTGAGCTGTGTTCATGCAGCTCCTCTGAGACAGCTACTAGACTGTCAACTGGCCAAAGGGAGAAAGACTCGTGACTGTGCATGGCTTTCTGCTAATTATAGTTTAACTGTGTATTACATAGTCAGCTGGGGCACATGTTTTAGAGAAAGTGATATTTAGATTTTAACTTCTATGAGCTTCTATGAGCCCAAGATATAAGAGGCAGACATGTTTAAGTAAAAATATACACTACCGGTCAAAAGTTTTAGAACATCATTTCCATTTTTTTACTGTTTACTGTTGACCAAAACGTATTCTAAACTTTTGATTCATGAAAGTGTCCACCTTTGGCAGATATAACAGCTGAACACACTTGTGGTTCATTCTTTTTACAACAGAAATCAAATATTGTTCAGAAAGTTCTTCCGAAGTCTGTTGCAGAAGTTCCCATAAATATGTGGCACTTGTAGGTTGTTCGGCTTTCACTCTTCTGTCCAGTTCGACCCAAAACCAGCTCGATGGAGTTTAAGTCTGGAGACTGAGTTGATGTTTTCAAGTTTACCATCTTGTTCTTTTTTCCTGAGGTAGTTTTGGCAGAGCTTGGACTTTTGTTTTGTTATCTTTTATCTTTTTATCTTTTTTTAAAACCTTATCTTTGTACCATTTCAAGCTCTTCATTGGACTTGCACGACTTGAATTAAATAAATAATTGGAAAAAAATCTGGGTGTTTTAAAACTTTTGGCCAGTAGTGTAGGCTTTACGGTTAACAATTGTAATGCTAATTTATTTTTCATTACAAAAACATTATTATTGTTTATAATCAATGCTAAAATCCAAAATCTAAACCTAAAAGGACTCTTTCTGATCTGAATGGTCTCTACCTAAACCCCAGCACCTTCAGTCAACCATGAATCAGTGCTAGTGCAGCTTTTTCAGCTCAGTGAGTGAATTCTGGAGGTTCTAAGCTTTCACATAACCTATAGCCTGCCCATATACCGAGAATGAGACAAACTAATATGCAGGTTAGACTCTCGTTTAGTTATAATATGTTTTAGAGATGTAAGAGTGCAAGCTACATACACTTCATTTAAAGGTGCGTTGTGTAACTTTTCTGGTGGAAGGTTCGTCAAATGCTTTTCTCTGTCAAGATGTTATTGCTTTGTCTGGTTTCACAGTGTGTTATTAAACCTTTCTATCATCATGGAAACCAAACCAGACCAAGTTACATGTCAGATCTGTGGAGAGGCGACTCTGCTCACAGCCAAAATGCTTGTTTTTCTAGGTATTTTTGAGCAATACAAACCACCAGCAATTGAATAAATGTAAGGTAGAGCTGTTCAATGTCACACTGTGGAACATTCAAGGCAGAGCAACGACATATCCATAGAAACAAGTAGGTGACAAACCCCCAACCAAAAATTTACATGGTAAACCTTTGATAGGGCCGTGCAAAAATACTTGAAATATCGATATCATGGGCTCCTATATCGATATATCGCCAAGAGTATTTTTAGGTGTATTTTACTGAATTATTTTGTATAAGAGCTACCATTGTGTTGAGATTTTCACTGTTTTGATGAGTAAAATGTGTGTTTTTCATATTAACTCTGCACAAACTTAGTGGACTTAGCAGACTTTTAGTATCACAGCCACGATTTAGCCTTTGTTTTTCACAGAACTGTACTGAATCAATTTGAAATATATCGTATCGAATCGTATTGAATCGAAAGTGCACTGTATTGAAAAACGTATTGTATCGTGGCCTATGTATCGGCAGCTTCTTAATGATACCCAGCCCTAACCTTTAACATAACATTAAGACTACTTCAGTTAGCTCCATTGCCTACATCCTAAAAGGCATTTCTCACAACATTATCTGAAACAAAACTGTGAGGTTAAATCCAAGTGTTTAGTATAATTTCTGTAGGTTAATCCAGTAATACCGCAGTTAGCATTTCGCAGATCAGCTACCGAGACCTAATTCTGAACTGTTAATAATCTCCTTTAAATCACATGTCGAAATCGTGTCTGATTGCGCCAAAGTCTATAACAATATTGCAACAGTAAAGCAGCTCCAGCTCAAACATTTAACATTACATTAGCTGTACTGATTATAAACATAGACTTAATTAAACAAAAAGGCTTCATTTTTAGGGCTGTTTTCATTTTCATTATAACCTAACAAACGTCTTTTATAATATCCAAGTTTTAATTCTTTAAAATCATGAAAAACATTCGCAGCAGCCCAAAGTCAATCTTTATTTTCTGCATTCCTAGCATTCTAAATATTCAGTACATTTATATATATGCTTCTCACAATTCAGAGACTTTAGAATTTACAGGTACAGTAATGTTAACAACTAGCATGCTAACAGTGCACTTCCTGCTTCTCGGACAATAAAACACGCTTTATAATTAGACGTGGAGAACACAGACAGCAGCAGTCTCGTTTGGACCCTAGAGTTGCCTTTTCAATATACCGTATTTTTTGGACTATAAAGTGCACTGGATTAGAGGGCGCAATATCAATAATGTTGAATTCTCTTGTCTGTTTAAATACATAAGGTGCACCAGATTATAAGGTGCATTAAGCGAAACAAACAAACAAACTTTATTCAACTCGTTCACAGTAACTCAGCCCAGGGCATCCACGCTCCATTGGAAGATCGTCTTGGTGGATGTGTGGTGAACTACGGTAGTCGCTTCGACAAACCATCAAGGTGGTGCGGCTTCGTAGCTTACCAAAGTCATACTAAAACAATTTGACAGATATTACAACCAGAATTAATACATAAGGCACCAAATGTATGTTGGGCCAAAACAATGTAGACTTTATTACGTGAGCAAAACCGTAGCCAAACAGTAGCTTATTATATGTTATATGTTATTATGTTTTTACCTGAGAAGATGGCGAACTGTCGATGGAGCGTCATAGCTTACCAAAGTCATACTAAAACATTTTGACAGATATTACAACCAGAATTAATACATAAGGCGCTCCAGATTATAAGGAAATTTAAGGATTTTAAGTGCACCTTATAGTCCGAAAAATACGGTACTGTATCTGTATTGGGCCAAAATGATGTAGATTTTATTACGTGAGCAAAACTGTAGACAAACAGTAGCTTATTATATGTCCATTTTCTTGTGTTTTTTACCTGAGAGGACGGCGAACTGTCGATGGAGCTGCTCGATAATGTCCACAGCCAGCAGCGGCCGGATCTCCTGCTGCATGATCTCATCTGCACACACAGGAAATACACACAGGTTAGTACAAGGACATCTACACATGCAAAATCATTATTACACACTGGAAATATAGTAGAATAAAGAAATAACTGCGTATATGTTTTCTATGGCCACCGCCAATCCATCACTCACATGTCAAAATCAAAATTAAGCAAGGTATGTGAAGTGACTTGCTCAATGTCACAACACAACTAAGTCTCAGTCGGACCTGGGATTAGGGCTGTAGCCGACTAAAGAAACTAAAGACATGTCCTGACTAGGGATGTAACAACAACAACAATCATGAAATCGTATCGTAAAAGGTCTCACAATATATCGAATCACAAGTTCCTTTGCTTAAATGTATTGTTTTATGGTAACAACAGCTTATAAACATAGAGAACTACATATCCCATGATTCATTTCAGTGCCGTCAACATGAATAAATGTTTTTTACTTGATTTCTTGGGATTATGACAGTAATGATTCGCACCAAAATCTTGTCAAGGTATTTTAAAAGCAAACTAGAAAAGCCACTCAGAGAGCGCAGACCTCCGCCAAGGACTACCCCCATTTTTTATATAAATTGCGATAAAATCAGTCTTCTGGATCAGATCCGGATCAGCCTTTGGAATATGAAAGAGGATCCCATTGTCCATCCCTGAGTCAAATTTCATGGGGTTTGGTCAATAATTAACTGAGATATTGAAGAAACAAAATTTGTGGCCCCATTTACCACAATGTTAACTAAAATTTCAAAGTGATCCAGAATCCAGGATTTCTTCCGGATCACCCCCAAAATAAAATCATTTCTTCCTTTTCACATTTCCAACAAATCCTGAAAATTTCATCAAAATCGGTCCATAACTTTTTGAGTTATGTTGCTAACAGACAAACAAACAAACAGACAAACGCCGGCAAAAACATAACCTCCTTGGCGGAGGTAATTATATCAGCCTCTCCAAAATATTGCAATAAATATCGTACTGAGAGATTTGGATATCGTTAAGTCCCTAGTCCTGACTATTATGTATCTCTGTGTATTTGGCCCAAACTGAACTCACAACACTATAATTACAGTTCCTGCAAAAACAACTATTTATACATGGAAAAACTATTAGGAAACAATATAAACAGACAGAAAAGATTCAACTTCATCTGTTTAATCTGCCTTTTTACACCAAAAAAAAGACCACATCGTCAGGTAACTCACGCACTTTTCCTTTCTGCTGTTGTCCCACATAAATACTTATAATCAAAATATGATGACATGATTAAAGGGCCCATATTGCACTATTTTCTGATCTACTGTATGTTATAATGTTGTTTCCTCATTAAAAACAGATCTGGAGTTGTGTTTTTTTTCATTCACACATGTTTAACTCACAAATCCTGCATATTCTTCCTAGTTTTTCTCTTAAACTGAAAACACTCTACACTCTTCCACTTTATAATGTGATGTGGTAATACAGGAAGTGCTCCACTGTGTTTTTAAACCTTCACTAGAATTATTTGGATGATTTCAGCCCTGGAGTTGCCAGTCTCTACTGAACTAAAAGTAAAAAGTAGGGGTTCACTTGAAAACTAAAAGTGAAAAAATGCATAGCACACTCAGACGGTCGATGTCCCAATAGCTTTTTTTCATTTTTGAATAATGTTTCATCAAAAAAGCCTTCGTCAGATCATTTTTCTTGCTTTGGACCACAGTATGACATGAAAACTACCGCTTCATGACATAACAAGTTGAACAACAGCATTTAGAGCTTTGGAAATGTTGCCAGAGCAATAAATCAAACATGTGTGAATGAACCAAAACACAACTACTGGTTTGTTTTTGTTGTTTTTTCATGGCTTAAAGCTCACAAGAATCAATTTTGTGTAATATGAGACCTTTAATCTTGGATTTAACCGTCAACCCTCTAGAGAAGCCTGTGCAATTCATCAAATTTGAATACAGCAATTTCAGTGAACAGATTCGATTTTTTAACAGAGAGTTGTGGTTTGGAGTTCAGAGTTCAAACCGGATCATTTCTTGCGCTGAATGTGAAAATAAAATAAATATTGAAAGACATTTTTATTCAATGAGACAAGAAAATGACAAAAAAAGTTTATAAATGTGGAAAAAATTGCTTATTTTTTCATACTGCCCATCCCCAGTTCCAGATATAAAACACATGTCGTATTCTTACTAACTCTACCAACAACCATGATGTAACTGACAATAAACTTTTCCATTTGGCATGAACAAAACTTTCACCAGTGAAAACACCAGCTGTTCTGATCCCAGAGGAAATTCTTCCACTAATTCAGACTAAACAGCTGACATTTTAAAGGCATGTCAAATGGTAAGAAATTGCTGAAGAAGAGCTTACTAAAAGTGCAGCGTTAACTTTTCTGTTGGCCACCTAATTGTGTCTATGGTAATACTGCCGTGCCTGGAATGTTCCGCAGTAAGGCATTAAGCTGTCTATTTCCATAAAAACAGCACAAGGCCAAGTTACAGGTCAGCTCTATGGAGAAACAAGGCAGCTCATGGTAAGAATGTATGTTTACAGTGCATCTTTGAGTAATAAAAACGTGTAATCAGATAAAGGCAAGTTAGATCAGCTTAAAGCCACACTGCGAAACATTTCAGAGGGATGGATCAATACTAAATATGGATATATATTTATAGTGACTGAAGTATTAAGAAATCTCAGCTGGAAATGGAGAAATCAGAGGTTGGCTGCTCTTGTGGCTACCTGGCAAAAACACAGTGAGCACTTTTGAAACTGTCTTTTGTGAGCTCAGTTTTTAACATCATGCCATGTGATTTGAGGCATCTATGAAGTGCAGCGTGTGCAGTTCAATGGACACAAGTAAGAGACTGTTGTGTGAAATGAGCTGCTTGTTTTTCCTGTATCCATGGAGACTGTGCAAGAGAAGAGGCAAGCTTAAGGAGCGGACTAAGGAGCAGCTCTGAGATGCTACAGGTTTTATACACCAAATGTACCAGCAAATGTTGCAGAAGACCTTCCAGAAGAAATACCCCGAGATCTGCATTGATCAGACACCATGCTGCTCTACAAAGGCAGAACGCCGCAACATGTTTGGTCAAAAATGAGTTAATGAAATTCTGGGGGTATTTGAGACTAGTTTGATTCATCAGCCAGTTTCACTTCATGGAAACTGTCTGACCATTATGGCATTAGGATTTGTTCGCTCAGCAGTAGGCGGGTACTTTTTTTTATTTAACCAATCGCTGCTATTTGGTAGTGACGTATGTAATGCACCGATATCGGGGCTAACTCGTATATTAAGCTTTTCCCAAATCCTGTAGGAAGAAGGGCAATAACGTCTTTCCCCTTGATAAAATTCAACAAACATTCTCTTTGTTCCGGCTTTAAATCCTCGATCTCGGGAATCGTTGACAACACAAAATGTATGGCTCTTCGCTGATTGGCTGGTGCCCGAACTTGCACTTCCGGGATTTTTGCGAACCGTCTTGTGTATTCCAATTTCAGACCTAGTCGCTGGAAAGAAGGCACTAGGTGAGACCTCCTTTATCATGTGAACAAATATCGTGAAAAATATTGAGCTCAAAATTGATGTCTGACCCAGTTCCCAGACTCTTCCTTTGTATCATGTTCCAAAAATAAGGAGTTGTGCAAAGGCAAAAGGCAGTAACAGTGTATGTTTTGTTTGTGATTTAGTTCATAAATGTGTTTTATTTTAAAATCCAACCTCTCGCCTCCTTCTTTTTGTTGCAGTTTTGGCACAGGGTCTTAATACATTAAATAATTATACATTTGTATTCAATTATCTTTAATGTGAAAGTCTTTTTGTGTATTTATTCATACTGTACATATTACACTGCAAAAGTAACTTGTCTGTCAAACTGTTTAACTCTGTAAGTGTTGCCGCACGATCCTGATCAGCACTAAACAGGAAATCCAAAGCTCTTCTATATCATTTCAAACAAACACCATGAGGACTCAACCTTAGTGAGGTATTCTTAAAATGGATGGAAGTCTGGGGAAACTCAAGCAAATAACGATAATGTCAGTTTCTGCCTTTTGCCTTTACATGACTTCTTATTTTTGGCTCATGATACAAAGGCAGAGTACAAGAACTGCCAAATAAGGGTCCAAGATCCATTTTGAACTCAATATTTTTCACAGACAAATATTTCTTCATTATAGCAACTAGTGTCACATTTTGGGAGCCCTACCTATTATACTTTTGTCTGGACAAATCAGAAACTTTGAAGTAATTTTTGCCAGTTTCACACTCTGGCAAGTTAAGATCTTTTGATTTTTGCTGCTTTGCTTGTATCACTATTGTTATTACTTGGTATTGTATCAAAACAAAACAAAAACACTGGTATTGCTCATCACTACTGTACTGTAAGAAACATGTACTGCTTTATTCTAAAACCCACAGTATTTACACAGCCTGCTTAATTGTATTTGACTTGTAAACTGCAGTGGTAAACGCCAGGGTGTCGTAAATAATAAATGAGGTTTGTGTATGTTTTACATTTTGTGGTCCGTTTCTGACCCACTTCTGTACAACATGCTTCATTGTATGCACTGTTTTGATCATAACAGATGTTTCTATGGGACTTCTCACACGGAAAACATCCCGTTTCACAAGACATGGCCTTTTATATGACTGAATGTACTTCTCCATACAATACAAGCCTCAATAGACAGACAGTATAGTAGTTCATATATGGGGTAGTCAAGTTTAGGCCTAGAGGCTCTTAGATTTCGCCGGTTCAGTTTACAAGGAACAAGTCTCTCTCTGTGCCAGGGGAAGAAGCACGACAGACTGGCTAAATTATGCTGATGCTGCAGGGGTCAGAGATCAAGGTTCACAGGGCCAAAATACAGGAACAATACAGTCAGTCTTTGGAGTGGAGTCTGCTGACTAACCACTCGAGATACACTAGAGATATTATTAGCGCCTGAAACTCTTATCGCATTGTAAAGTTTCGATTAGAATGAGAACATCAAGATTATGCATGATTTTT